GTGTGGTCAGGAAAGAAGCAGCTGAAGTCCAGAAAATTAAAACTGAAAGAAAAATTACTTATGCTGAAGCAGTGAAAGAGGTGAAAAGTACGGAAAATGTTAACAAAACAAAGTCAGAAAAGAAAAAAGAGATAGAAGATACTCAAAATAATATCACATTAGAAAAGCTGATTCCATTTCTGGCATATATCATAAACTGTTCAGAGCAAGCAAGGACTAAGACTGAAAAAATAAAAATCATAGTAAAGGCAGCAGCAAAATTCTTTAATGTCAAAGATCTGTCATGGGAGAAAATTCAGGATGAACTTAGATGTGGAGAAGGAGCATCTGAAAATGAAGCTCCTCAAATCGCTATATGACTCTAATATTACAATGGAATGCTCGAAGTTTAATAGCTAATGGTCAAGAATTTAAAGGGTTCATTAATGAATTAAATAAAAAACCAGACATAGTATGTATTCAAGAAACATGGCTTAAATCAACAATGCAATTTAGTATTCAAGGGTATGCAGTTTTACGTAAAGATAGAATAAACGGGAGTGGAGGAGGATGCGCCATATTTATAAAGGAAAACTTAAAATTTGCTCAAATACAATTAAATACAGATCTAGAACTTAATGCAGTTAAAGTTTGGACAAATAATGAAACTATTAAAATAATTAATTATTATAATCCTTGTAAGAAAATAGAAAAAGCAAAACTCGAAATGATCCTTAGACACTGGAGAGGGAAAATAATTTGGTGTGGGGACTTCAATGCACATAGCACTTTGTGGGGAGAACAAGATGACTATAATGGTGGGGTCTTAGAAGAAATAATTGAAGAAAAAGAAATGGTAGTGTTAAATAATGGCGTAGGCACTAGGGTAGATTTGGTAAGAGGTAAAGAATCAGCTCTTGATTTGACACTGGTATCTCAATCTTTGGCAGATAATTGCGACTGGAAAGTGTATAAAAATAGCACTTTAGGTAGCGATCATTATCCACTTTTTATTGAAGTAGGAATGGATATAGAAGAAGAACAGGTAGTTAGTCAAGGGAAATGGAGGTTTAGGGATACAAATTGGGAAAGCTATAAAAGAATAAGTGAAGGTAGTATGGTGAATATAGATATAAATAAACCAATAAATGAATTAAGTTTAGCAATTAGTAATTGTATTGTGCATGCAGCAAACACAGTCATTCCTAGAAGTAAAGGGGTTAAAAAAAAGAAGATAGTTCCTTGGTGGACTTTAGAATGTTCAATAGCAATTAAATCAAGAAACAAGGCCTATAAAAATCTCAAAAAATATATTTGCTTCCAAAATCTAATAAATTATAAAAGAAAACAAGCAGAAGTCAGGAGAATTATAAGAAATGCTAAGAGGGATTACTGGAGTAAATACTGTGAATCATTGGGGAAAAATACGGCATTAGACAGGGTTTGGAATACCATTAAAAAAATGTCAGGTAAATCAAAAGAATACTTTTTCCCAGTAATAAAAGATAATGGTGACACCATAATAGATAATAAGAATAAAGCTGAAATATTAGCAAGAGCATTTACTAAGATACATAGTATGGAGAATCTTAGTAATATTGAAAAAAAGGGACGGGAAACGACATTAAATAATCACAGTGAGTTGCTATGTAATGATGAAGATGATGAGAATTTTTTGAATATGAAATTTTCGTTAAAGGAATTAAATAGAGCATTAAAAAACTCTAGTAAATCAACACCTGGGGAGGATCAAGTTAACTATATTATGTTGAATAATCTTAGTGAAAAAAGTAAGAAGATATTATTAGAAATGTATAATAAGATATGGGAGGAAGGAATTCTACCAGATAAATGGAAAGAAGCTATAATTATTCCCATTTGTAAACCCGGAAAAGATCCACATTTAGCTGAGAGTTATAGGCCGATAGCATTAACATCATGTATTGGTAAGGTGATGGAAAAGATGGTGAATAACAGATTAATATATTTTCTGGAATCTAAGGAGAAGATTAAACCATATCAATTTGGATTTAGGAAAGGAAGAAGCACAATAGATCCTATAATATATTTGGAACATGAAATCAGGAGGGCCCAGGTGAATAAAGAGGTATTAATAGCAATCTTTTTGGATATAGAAAAAGCATATGATATGTTGTGGAAAGAAGGTTTATTGATTAAAATAAAACAAATGGGATTAAGAGGTAAAATATATAGATGGATTAAAAACTTTTTAACTGGAAGAAATATAAAAGTTAGAATAGGTAGTGAAGTGAGTTCAAAGCATCAAATTGAAAATGGTACTCCTCAAGGAAGTATAATAAGTCCTATGTTATTTGTTATAATGATTGATGATATGTTTAGTAAAATAGACAAAGCTTTCGGAGTGTCATTATTTGCAGATGATGGTCTTATTTGGAAAAGGGGAAAAAATTTAGAATTTATAAATAAGAAAATGCAAGAGGCAATACATAATGTTGAAGATTGGGCCTTAAAATGGGGTTTTAGAGTGTCAATATCTAAATCCAAGTTTATTACTTTTACTAATAGGAAAATAAATGCTAATATAAATCTTAAATTATATGAGGAAGATGTAGAAAAGATAGATCAGATTAAATATTTAGGAGTCTGGTTTGACAAAAAACTTACATGGAAAATACATGTAAGGAAAATAGTTGAGAAAAGTAAAAAAATTTTAAATATAATGAGATGTTTAAGAGGTAAAGATTGGGGAGCTAGTGGGAAAGTATTAAAAACGATATACATAGGACTAATCAGGTCAGTAATTGATTATGGATGTGTTGTATATAGTTCAGCGTCTAACAGTTTATTAAAAGAAATTGATAGAATCCAATATCAGGCCTTAAGAATTTGCTGTGGAGCAATGAAAACAACCCCAGTATCAGCCTTACAAGTTGAAATGGGTGAGATGCCATTAGAAATCAGAAGGAAACAACTAGCCATTAATTATTGGGCAAATATTAAAGGCCATAAGGAAAACTATCCTCCAAATATTACATTACAACCTTGTCAAGAAAAAGTAAAAAATACAAAAATTAATAGTTTTGGATGGATTATAAATAATGAGATAAGTGAGCTAGGAATAAGTCATTATTTAATTAGTCCTGTGGTGAATATTCCTGAAAATCCACCTTGGTTAACTGAAAATCCTGAAGTCGATTTAAGATTATTGGAAAAAGGCAGACAAATAGAAAAAAAAGAGGTCGAAAGGTATGTAAATAATGAATATGCTGAATTTCTACAAATATATACGGATGCTTCTAAAATGGTAAATGGTAAAATTGGAATAGCATTTATAGTTCCGGACTTAAATATTATGAAAAATAAAAGAGTAACAGACAGAATGACAGTCTATACAGGTGAGCTAATGGCTATTTTAATGGCTCTAGAATGGTGTGAAGAAACGAGAAAGAAGGAAATATTGATTTGTTCAGATTCAAGTAGTGCATTAATAAGTATTTTAGAACAGAATTCAGATACAAGACAAGATATCATATTGAATATTGGTCAATTAATTTTTAGAATCAAAGAGTTTGGATCCAGGGTAAAGTTGATTTGGATTCCTGCTCATATTGGAATAATAGGAAATGAATTGGCGGATCAATTTGCTAAAAGTGCAGCGAAAAGGGATAAGGTTGAAGTAAATATGAAAATAAGCAGAAATGAAATCAAAAGTATAAGTAAAATATATTTTAAAAAGAAATGGCAGGAATTATGGGATGGAGAAGAAAAGGCAAGATTTTATTATAGCATCCAAAGGAAAGTAGGGGAATGTAGGGAAGGAAATAGAAATAGAAGAGAAGAGGATATTATATCTAGACTAAGATTTGGGCATACGGGGCTGAATAGTACGCTGAAAATAATTAATAAACATAGTACAGGTTTGTGTAATTTTTGTGGAGAGTCAGAAACGGTGCAGCATATTCTTCTAGAATGTAGTAAATACAGCCGGGAAAGAGAGTTGTTAATTAAAGAGATGAATAGTAATAAAATCAATTTAGATGTTAAAAATTTGCTGCAAAGATCTTCTGAAAATATAATTTTTAACAGCATATTTAGGTTTCTCAAGATGTCAGGCATTATGGGGAGAATATAATGATAGGACATCTAATCTATACTCCAGTCTGGAAGGTGGCGGTAATGCACCTATAAGTTGTTTGCCAACCGCCATTAAACATACAAGAAGAAGAAGAAGAAGAAGAGGTTAGAAAACGTACAGGATTTTTTTTAAACCTCGTCTTTCTAAAGTGATGTATACTTAAAAAAAAAAAATCTAAACTCATACACTTAAAGTACTTTGTATCATTTGTACACCCTCATATGAGTAAATATTACTCAACTTTATAATCCAAACACTTTATCTGAGCTCCCACTCTGCATGAAGTGTTAAAACAAAAATAATTTTTTTTTTTTTATATATTTTGCTGATTTTTCACACAAACTCAACTCTTTACTCGTCACTCTCTGTTCTGTCAAATTAATCTTATTCATATGAAATTATTCTGTTTGCATACATTTCATTACAGAATTATTTACGTTTTCTTTCATGAAATTATATTTTTTGTCTTTAATGAAATGACAGAACCACTTAAAATATAGGACTTGATGAATTCAACAGTAAAATGAGTCATTTTGCAAATTCTTTATTCATATTTGTGCCTGAAAAGAGAAATGTTGGATTATTCTGTGCAAACTGAACATTTCCTATCATTAGAATCTGCACACTGGTTGAGAGAAATGTACAAAATGACAGGAGCCTCTTTTTTATTTATTTTAAACCTGCCGTCCTGTGGCTCGGCTGGCTGCAGGTCATGAGTTTACTGTGTGAGGTTAAAGACATTTTGAATAAAAAGCCTCATGTCATCAGTATTACGGCGCTTTGACGGTTTTTGTATTTTCAGCAGATTCTCTTAAACACAAAAAGTCATCCTCTGCGATTGGTCGTGGCTCAGCACGCTCCATTGTTCCGGCGGGACGTTTGTTCGCTCCGTTTCCTGCACACAAACAAAACTTTCCTGCCATCCTGGACAATATCGGGCTCCTCTGCGCTTAGGCCACTCAGAGCATTGGATTCTCTGACTTTTTCTAAAGAGAAAAAACACGATAAAGGTACGTCATATCTTCTAACATGTAGTATTCCTTGTTTAATATTCTGTTTTGTGAAAATGCAAAATAATTGTCTGATTTTGCCTCATATTTCTCTTTTTTTTCTCAATATTTTCCTTAAAACAAAGACTGAAAAGTCCTATTTGCATGAAATATTCAAACAATACGCCATATAGATGCATGACTGAATCCAGCTAGAAGAATATTCTTGAGCTCATTTTACACTCATGCCACGGTTGGTGATCCCGACTTATGTAGAGTTTGAAAATGTTTATCAGCATCAAATGTGTGCGTTTGTGTTAACGGTTAATGACTCGTTAGATGAAGCTGCTTCTCTAGAGTGATGCTTCTCCTGTCAGATGTGTCAAACTCCTGCCTCGACCTGAACTCATCTCCACGTTGTTTTATTCATACCCTCTGGTGCAGTAATTGGTGGAGCAGCAGCAGTCAGATGCATTCAGGTTCTGACCTGGCGGTGGGTTTTCCCCCCCTTTTCTTTTTGTGTGTCAGTATATTTTGGCAGGATGTACAGCTTCATGGGAGGTGGGTTGTTCTGCGCCGGAGTGGGGAACATACTCCTGATTGTCTCCACGGCAACGGACTACTGGATGCAGTACCGTCACTCCAGCAGCTACATGCACCAGGGCCTGTGGCGGTACTGCGTGCCCGGGAAATGCATGACGCACACAGACAGCATCGGTAAGATGGCTGACATGTGACCCTGACCAGCACTGAGGTTACCTGGTGCTCTGATTTAATCTGAAATGCTAATTTGTCTGACACTAGAAATGCTGGTGTGACAATGGTGGTGTTGAGGAGGTGGACCCAAGTGTTCAGGCAGCAGATATAAACCCAACATATTTTAACAAATCCCAGAATCAGGAACAGACAAAGACTGAAGTGAAGAAAAGACAAGCAGAAGGAGTGGGCATGGTGATTAGTAAATGGAAACAGCTGGGATGATCACAGCTGGCTGACAGGTGTGTGTGTGGCAGGTGATACAGACTGAGGGAAAACACAACACGAATGCCGAACCTAAAAAACATCAGATTGAACATATAACAGAAAAACAGACTATTATATACATAAATCTAAAACAGAACACAAATCAAAATACAAACACCAGAAATCGTTACAAATAGTTGGATGTAGATGTTTGAAAAACATGTTTTTTTCTGCTTTGTGTCGCAGTGATTACATTAAAATGATTCAACAGTATTTTTAAAAAAAGTATTTTAATATATTTTTAACAAGTGGTTAATGTTAATCTCATCTGGAGGCTGAGGAGACAGGAGACAGACACACAATGGCTGATCCAGGTGTAGTTTCTATGGTTCAGATGTAGTTTCTATGGTTCAGGTGTAGTTTCTATAGTTAAAATGTACAGTAGTTGCCATGGTCCAGATGTAGTTTCTATAGTCCAGGTATAATTTCTATGGTCCAGGTGTCATTTCAGTGGTTCAGGTGTCATTTATATGGTTCAGGTGTTGTTTCTATGGTACAAAAGTAGTTTCTATCATGCAGGGGTTTCTATAGTCCAAGTGTAAGTTCTATGGTCCAGGTGTAGTTTCTACGGTCCATGTGTAATTTCTATGGTTCAGGTGTAGTTGCTATAGGGTTAAGGTGCAATTCTTAAGGGCAGGTGTAGTTTTTATGGTCCAGGTGTAGTTTCTATGGTTCAGGTGT